TTTCTTCCGCGGTTCTGCCTCGACATAACTTCATGGAAAGAAGACGCTACGCGTTCCAATGGATCTCTGATCAAAGCAGCCTTGAATCCATCATAATTGACAACAAAATCAGCAACCTCCTGTCTGGTGAGATTCATAGGTGGAAAAACCGTCTTCATCGTACCACCGTGATCGCGAGCGACCTTGAGCAACGACGTCCCACCATTCTTAAATGTATGAATAACGGCGGAGCCGTGTAAAATGACGACAGTGCTGAGGGCGGACTTGTGGAAGCCTGGGGCGCACGACCTAAATTTCTTCAGATGTGTTCTCTCGCTCCACGAGGTGTCGAAATAGTGGAGGGATGGGACGGTTGATGTGGTGGAAGCACTAGTGCAAGACAAACACGTACTTTTTAAGCGCAAAATTGCACGTCCAGTCGTTCCAAATCGTATTGCAGCAACGGACAGAAGGAACAAAATCGCCCACGCTGCAACGAACAGACGGAACACGAATACGCAAGCACTCGGCAGCGTTGCCGTGTTCACCATGTATGCGCCGATACCTCTGCCGCAATGCCCGCCAGCACCCGGAACAACGAACGTGTTTGGCCAGCACTGCAAACCGAGCAAATACGGCTCAAGGCAAAAAAAGGCTTGAGCCTTGAGCCACAATGGCTACGGACCAGGATGCTCCGATGGCCGTCTCGGATTGCCAACACGAGGCGGGAGGCCCTAAGGGAGGGTCTCCCGCTCGAGACGCCCTCGCGGTGCACTCACACTCTGGTGAGCGTCCGAGGGTTGAGTAACTCGGGGATGGACAGACCTCCCTTTAGTAAAACGTGGTTTAGTGATACCGTCAGAGGTTGAATCGGCCATCTCCTGGGGCAAGCTTCACAGGCGGGCATGGCAGATTCGTGTGCTGCCGCAGGCGGCGACAATTCAGGCCCCATCCAGACAGAGGTCGTCAAAGCCGAGTGCGAGTCGACCCAGCCTGGCGGCGACGGCAATGTGCAGCCGACAATGCCGTTCTCGTCGCCAGTCCGCCTCTTCGCTCACATCCGTGAGATCGACGCCACTGTGAAAGCGATGCGCCCGCGCTTGAGAGCCTTCGTTGAGCTGATGCTGAAGTCTGCGCTGGGCGCCCAGAAGCTGCACAAGCTCGCGGCCACCAGAGTGGGCGGCTCTTGGCACGATCACTTCGACAAGGACGCGTCGGGCGACACTGTCCTGAGACATTTCAACCACAACGTTGCGGTCATCGACAAGATTATCATATACCTTGAGAGCCTTCACTTGCTTGCCGACCCAGACTGGTGGCTCGACGGCGAGTCACTTTCAAAGAGCAGCACCAAGCCCGACGAGCAGACCCTCTGCAACTTCAGCAGGGTCCACCACGAGCACACCTCAGTCACGCCCTTCACCGTGCTGACCTCATCCACCCTCGATCTCCCCGAGGTCGGAGATGACATCGCAGCGTTGTTCGCGGCGTTTGCTGAGCATGTCGGCCAGCGCATGTACGACTTCAAGGCTACAGCGTTCTTGGTAGATAAGAGTTCTACGATTTCTGACGTGGAGGTGCTCCTGGGGAGCGTTCACGCCGACGTCTTAAAGGAGTGCGACGACTCGGCCCTGTATCCTCACTTGCTGCCTAAGGGCGATGCCGACAATGTTGCGAAGCTTGCGCCCATTGATGTTTCTGGAAGCAAAGGGGATCCCAAGGTGTTGGAGCTTCTCCCTCATAACCGAGCTCTCGAGCACCTGCGATGCTTCATCAGAGCAGTCATGCTGACGGAGATCGACGTCCCTGGCATGTTCTACTCAACTGTGGATGCACCGGAGCCCAGCATCGACCTGTGCATGTTCGCTATGGAGCTCAAGTGCGCTGTCGCCGACGTGGTCGCAGTCATTTCCTCAGCCGAGGTGGCTATAGGCAGGAAGGCTCGCTCCAAGGATAAGCAGTTCATGAGTCAAGGGTACCTCTGCGGGACGGCCACCTTCATATTGCAGATCCTCCACGGTGCGCGACAGAAGCTGGACAGCATGGCCAACGACCCCAGGGCCATGGAGTTCGAGAAGACAGGCTGGCAGCTCCGCGAGTCGATCCACACCATGCGTCACTGGTGCTTGTTGGCGGCAAGAGTCAGCGGGCGTTACGAGAGCATGCTCTTGCTGGGCATGGCCGAGGTCTTGACCAACGAGGGACAGGCGACGGCAAAGGTCACCCCTACTTGGACAGCATGTTTCGTCGACGACGTGTTCAACGAGACGATGGCAATGGCGATGCTCAAGAACAAGCTGGACGTCGTGATCAACCGCCACAACTCACTCCACACCTGCATCAAGGCCTTCTCCACGTCAGCAGCCGTGCTGTCCATCAACCCCCGCGTGCAGGACCACCCGGCGACGTCCGAGTCAGTGAACGTGGCACTCCAGTTGCTGAAGGACGCTGCGGAAGCAAGCGTGGTCATCAGGGGCGTCGACCTGTTGACTGCGTATCGTCATCGCCCTGAGGGGCCGACGAAAGCGACGGAGTTCTTGACGGAGAACGAGGGTCGCTACCCCAAGGTACCGCAGTGCTTCTGGCAGTTGTTCAAGGACCTGCAGGCGCACGCACTTCCAGCCCAGCCTTTGCCAGCACAGGCTGGCGAGGCGTTGGCCCCTGGCGCAGGCGCGTCTGGGGGCGGAGCCCACCTCGCGCCAGCCAAGAAAAGCTTAGCGGACGGGTCTATTCACACTCCGACCCCAAAGAAGCCGCCTGCCCCGAGTTCAGCCGATGGCAGTCAGCACGTGAAGGCCAAGGCCCCTAGCGTTTCAGATCGCCCCGCCAAGGGTTTCAAGCGCGCCAAGCGCTCCTGAGCCTCAGGAGTTTCAAGCGCAGCAGGCACTAGCATAGCATGCAAACGTAATGCAGCATTAAGCAGACATAGACACATAAGGGATCAGCATATTGCATATATCGTGACACGCATGCTTGTGCAAACACTCTGGGCCGCTGGTCTGCATTGGGCTGGCTGTATTTAGCTAGGGTGCCGCAATGCAGTTTAGGTTTGGATTCTAATCTCGGCTGGATGCTCTCAGAGTGCGAGCCGACGTCGAGGCAACGAGAAAGTGGTGTTGAGGGTGTTGGGGGCGCGCCATGCGTCGGGCGGTCGGAATATCGACCCCGTCTACTCCGACCGTCGGAGTATCGCGCGATGCAGCGAGCGCACCGTCTACTCCGACCTCCGACGTACGGCACATCGGGCTCCACATCGAGCTGCATCGGCGATGCATCGGCGATGCGGCGCGATACTCCGACGGTCGGCGTGGCCATTGCTTCACGTGCCGTTGCATTCAATACCGTTGGCATATAAGGATCCTCTCACACACACGCGTAAACACATGTGCTTTGACCTGCGTACCACTCGTGCGCCACTGATGTTGCCAGCCATTTTGTCTCATCACTCTTCCTCGACCTCCCGTCCTCCTCCTCCACCTCCCCCTCCTACCTTTCTGATTTGTCCCCCGTCCCCCCATATGTCCTCCCAAGTCCCTATCTTCCCTTGCCTCCTCGTTCCCCTCCACCTCCCTCGCATCCCCTACCGTCCCCTCCTCGCCCCCTTTATCCTCACCCTTACATTCCTCACTCTCCCTCTCGCCCCCCTCCTCCCCCTGCCCTTGCGCCGCCGTGGATCGTGCGTGATTCTGGCGTTTTGGGAGCTGCATGCTAAATGCGCTTCGGCGCCAACGCGCTGATTTGCCGTTCAAGCTTGCGATCGGCGCGGAGTGTCCGAGTTGACCGCCCAAGCCCTTCCATCAACAAGGAGTTGGCGGACCCCCCTGCCGACCCGCCCTGACGTGCATTCGTGGGGTCCTTCCAGTCCAGCCCCCCCAGACGAACCCAAATCCTCGTTTCCCGATCTCGATCCTTGAGCCTCGAGCTTCCATGCGAAATCGGCCCGTGGACCTGTCGATGGGGCGCGCTCTGGCCAGACTCTAGTCGCTCTCCAGCCGTGGCGGCGAGGGCGTCCCGGGGCGCGGAAGGGGGGGCGAAAGATTTGGACAAGTCGCGACGACGACGACAACCCGGGATAGTTTTTCGTCCTGGATCCGTTTTTGACGGTCCCAGGCCCCGAAAGCGGCTCCCAGAGGCCTAAAACGAGCAAGAATCCTTGAAGGTCGGGGATCGACGACATACTACGACGACGACGACGACGACGACGACGACGACGGCGGCGGCGGCGGCGGCGGCAGCAACGACGTCTTCGGCGGCGGCGGCGGCGCGTTTTTGCTCGACGTTTCCGGGAAGATTTCGGGCCCTAGGGGGCCGCCGTCGGGCCCCAGGGCCGCCAGAAACGGGCAAACCAGAAGGACCTCCGACTCGCCGCGGTGGGGGCAACGCAACGCGATATTGCCTGCCCGGGCGGGGCAGATTCCTCCTCCACACGCTCCTTCTCGTGTTCCTCCTCTCCCTCATCGTCTTGGCATCCCTGCCCCATCCTGCTCTCTCCGAGCGCGGGCGGCAGAACGAGGGGGAAAAAGGCAATCGATGGGGGGGCTTGGCAAACTTGAGATGACGGGTGCGTTTTCCGTAGACTGGCACGTAGATCGCTGACGCGGCGGCCGATGGGCGAGGAGGAATGGAGGAGAGGAAGACGAACAGGGCGGCCGAATCCGCCACCGCGCTCTGAGGCGCAAGTTGGAATGCCCCCAGGTCTCCTGCCTAATACCCCCGAACCGACAGCTCGAGCCTTCCGCCCCAAGATGCCACCGGGAGGCTCCAAGAAGCGCCCGAGCCACCCTGGAAGCCCCGGGACGACCCTAAGAGACATTGAACTGCCTCCAAAAGGTTTTCGAGAGGTCTCCCGCGACATCTCGACGAACATCCAAGAAGCTCATGACCACGAACCCAGGCACGGTGGTGGAATGGGCCGAAGGCAATACAAGAGTTAGCGGCTGGCCCAACCACGGGAGGTAGGGCAGTGTCGCCCTCGCCCCTGCAAAAAATTAACAATGGCATTGCGCCAACCTGCATGCAGCTCACTGCGAACTCTGGCGAGCGGCGTCCGCCAACTCTTGCTCCAGCCGCAGCTTTGTCTCGGGCTCGAGCATGAGACGGGCGCGTTCGCTCTGCTGGAAATACATGACGCCATCGTCGACCCACGCGGGCAACGCCGAACTGTGGAAGTGCATGTACAAAAACCGCAGGAATGACAAGTCTGCAAAAAACTTGAAAACTTTCTCTCCTGCAGTCTTAGTCTCGGATGGCCAGTACGAAGCAGTGATGGCCCAAGACTGTTCGACTGGGACGGTGCCGGATCGAGGGCCCACGCCGGCGGCCCGCAAGCCTTCGGCGCACTCTTGCCACGCAAGCAAGCCGCTCAAGCGTCGCGACTTGAGAAGGCGGCTGTAATGCCGCCGCAGCTTCGAATTGAAGACGCATCTGCGGCCGCGCACTTCCTGGGCGCAGGCTGGGCAGACCCTCAGGATGCCGCGGCGGCGGCGCGCCAGGCGCTTGGGACTACTGTACCAACGTCGCATTCGTTTAATTTCCCGCTTAAATGCCTTGCGGCTCCTGTAGTTATCCGCCGCCGCGCCCCAGGGCGCGACGTGGCGCGCGGTCAATCGCTCTAACGAGACGCCCAGCATCTCCAGGAAAGCTGCCAAGAGGTCCCCGAGAAGGCCCCCGAAACATTTCCCAAATGCTCTAGGGCCCCGCCCGCGACCCGAGAGTGGCGGCGGGGCGGGCCGAAGGCCGCGAGATGCCACCCGTGCGCGGCGTCGAGCTGGGCCCCTGCTCGACGCGCAACCCGCGCGAGCACGGGGCGCGGCGGCTGCGCGCCGAACGCGCTCTTCCAGACGCCTTTCGCGCGGAGAACCCCTGGCGACGAGAGGAACGCGCGCAAATCGCGCGCGCCGTCTGGATCCTGCGCGAGCGCTTCCTGGAAGGACGCGGCAGACTGAGCCACAGCAGTCCGCAGGAGGTCGCGCCCGCGCTCTCCAAGCGCCGGCACGGGAGGCGCGCCTTGCGGTTCCTCGGGTGGGCCGCGGGGCGCGTTCAGCCGGCCGATCAGGTCAGCGTGGTCGTGGCAGAAGTCCGCCGGAGCCGTCGCTCTCCGCGCCCGTCAAGGCGCGCGGCCGCGCTCCTCGTCACGTCATGCCCCGTCGCCCCTGCGGGGAAAACCGAACAAATGAACCGGTGCTGGCTGGGCTCTGGCGCCCGGCAGTTCGATGGGCCAGCTGAGATCTAGGCGCGGCGGATGCGGCGAAGCCGACTGGATCCGAGCTGTCGTTCCACGCACCTCCTCGCGTTGAGGACGTCGTGGAACGGCTCGCCTGCCACGAGCACGCCGACGGAAGGCGCGACTATGCAGCGCGCGGCGAGTGGGCCGCGCGGAGTGGCGCCAGCCGTCCGCACCCGGGCAAGCTGGCACGCCTCATTCACCACGTCGGCGTACTTCTTGAAGTGCTTGTTGTAGGAGTCGGTGCTGACGAACGCAGGGCACGCGTCCTCCAAGGACATGCCGGCGGCCTGGCGAGCAGAGACGATGTCCGCGAGCAGAGGCTGCAGCACGCGCTTGATGTCCATCCAGGCCTCCCCGCGGGCGGGGGCGACAGGCAGCAGGGGCGATCCGTCCGTCCCGCAGATGCCGAGCACGCAACTGAAGGGCTTCTGGCGGGACTTGCCGGCACCTCTCCAAATCTTCTTCGCCAGCTTGAAGTTGCCGTCCACGCGCAGCCCGGAACCGTTGTAGAGACTCTGCAGGCGCCGCATCTCAGACACTCTCCGCGAAATCGGGGCGGAGAAGGCGCGCGGGGCGATCATGCCCAACATCTTGCGCTTGGGGAGGGCGAAAGCGATGTTGAAGAGGACTGCCCGCGCGCCGGCGTCGCTCAAGCCCGCCTCCGCGCCGCGCGCGACGGCGACGTACTCCCCGAGCAGCTGCCGACGGCACTCGCGGAAGTTCAGCGTGTCATTCAGGCAGAAGAGGAATCTTGCCAGGAACCTCCCAGTCACGTAACAGCGGCCCTCCTTCTGCCCGCCCTCCGCCGCGTTGCCGCGGATGACGATCGCGTCAGGGACGACGCGCACCACGTCCTCGTCGGCGACTGGGAAGTAACAGCGATGCCCGACGTCGTCGCCGCGCCCGCCGTACGACGCCTGCGGGCAATGCCCATGTTCGTGGACAGCCCATGCACGTGAAGCATACCCACCTCTGACGGTCCAGCTGCACTGGCCACGGGAAGTCCCAAACGTAGCTCCCGCGCCTGCATTCCCCGCTCGGCTGCAGCGCGGCCCCCCCTGCTGACGCGCGACCCAGTGCCGGAATTGCCGGGCGTGATCGTCGGCGGCCTTCGGGATCACGAGGACTGGCGCCGCGGGCCGCTGGCACGCGGGCGCCGCGACGTTCATGCCGGCGAGGGCGTGGCGGAAAGACTGCAACATCTGCGCGTCTTCCACGAGAGCGCGCGGAGCCACCGATGCTGCGCGCCCGCCATCCGACACGCCCTCGGGCACGCGCGCCATCCATGGAACACCGCGGACGATCGACCGGCAGCGCCACCGATGCTGCACGTCCGTGAGATCAGAACCGGCACGCGTGGTCAAACCACGCCGCAAACTCGTCCTGAGCACGTGCGCGCCGCCAGCGGCGCCCGCCCCAGAGCCTTGGACTACGGGGGCCACGTCGCACCGAAGGCGGCCGCGGCACACGAAGGCGTCGAGGACGACCACCTCCTCGCCTCGAAGTTTGCCAGCGAGCCCTGCCCGCGGGGCCAGCGTCTCAGCCGGGCCGCCGTCGCCGCTAACAAGTCCACACTGGAGCAGTCGGGCCAGCGTGCCCCGCGTGCGCCCCGCGCGAAAGCGCAACGCCAGGCGCGCCCGCTTGTCTGCCCGTGCGCCAACGCCTGAGCGGGCGGAGTCCCGCTGGGCCAGCGCAGCGTCCAGCGCCGCTGCGTCGCGCGGACCGAGCTCTGGCAGGGCCGCCCGAGGCGCCCACGCCTTGCGCGGGTGCGCCGGTGCTCTCGGCCCCCCTTCGGCCGAGCGGCTTGGCTCGCGGGCGGGCCCACCTCGGGCGGCGGCAGCGGCCGCGCCTGGGCAGGCTCTGCGCCGCGCTCCCCGCGCAAATCCTTCCAGGTGGGCCTTTTTCTGGGCCACGGCGGCGGGCCCCCGGTCGGGCCTCTCTTCGCCGGCATAGACGCTCTGGTGGCCGAAGACGCGATCAGCGAAAGCCCGGGCCTCTGGCTTGAGCCCAAATGGTTGCAGCGATGATGACGACGATGGCGATGCATGAGATCACCTAACCGCGGCCAGGGGGGGCGCAACGCGATATCGCCCGCCCGCGCCTGCGCCGCCAACCGCGGAGATGATCCAAGATAGCCTAAGAGGGCCCCCGAAATAGCACGGACAGCCCATGGTGGCCCCCGAGACGGCGCAAGGCGGCGTAGACGCTCCCTTGGAGCGAGCCCACTGGGGGCTATAAAAGCTCTCTTGGGCCGCTGTGGGGCCCGGGCCGCCCCGGGGCCGCGACGGAGCCCCCGTCGGGGACCTATCGGGCCATGGTCGAGCGAAGGGGCCCCGCAGACGCAGCAGAAACGCGCGGGCGCGTGGATCGCCTTTGCCGCGGCCGAGGAAACGAGGGGTGGCCGAATACTTGGCGGCTGGCGCAATCGCCGCGCGCAGGCTGGCAGCGCTGTCGCCACGACAGCGAATTGAAGCAACGGTGTTGCGCCGACCTGCGCGCGCCTCGGCAGCGGGGCTGCTGGGGCGCCTTCGAGGATGCATGCGCCGCTTCAGGGATCGGGGAAAACCTCTACCGAGACGCCGAGGCTGCGGCGAAAGGCCGCTTGCTTCTCGGACTGCTTGAGATAGCCCACCTTCACGAAGCCCTGGTCCGCGCCGGGCGCCTCTTCGAGCACCCCGCCCGCAACCAGGGCCGCCACAGCCACCTTGATGCGCGGCATCAGCGGGCCCACGCCCGGCTGGCCCGTCGCGCCCCTGAACGCTGGCCCGCGCTTGCCGCGGACTGCCAAGCGGAAAGCCGTGTGCGTGATCCGCCCGTCTCGAGGCGCGTGCTGCAAGAGGGCGGCCTGCAAAGTCTGCTCCAAAGACAACTGCAAGCGCCCCGCCAGCGGAGCAGGCGCCATCCCGCCCACGGACGGGTCCTTTGCCAACATGGAGATGTAGGCGCCGTGGTGAAGCTGCCACTGCCGGTGCACGCGCTGCAGCGCCGCGGCCAGTTCGAGGAAGGAGATCTGGCTACGCAGCGGCGCCTGCTCGCCCGCGCAGTGCTGGAAGATGCGCATGGTGCTCAGAGAGGAGCGGAGCAGGTCAGAACGGAAAAACAAAAGCTTTGCCTTCCACCACTTGTTGATGCGGTTCTCCTCCATCGCTCGCAGCAGTATCTATGGCGTCGTAAAGGCTGCTAGCGAAGTCGTCCGGAACAATGCTGTGCTGATGCGGGAGGCAGTTGATAACGCACCATTCGTAGAAGTCCTTGAGGAAGTCCTGGCACTCAGTGTCGGCGAAGCCGTTCGCCCTCGGGACGAAATCCCCCGGGGCGCCGACGCGGCCGCCGAGCCGCGCGCCCGGGGGCCCCCGCTGCTGAGGGGCGGAAGACGGGGGCCCCCGCGCGCTCTGCACAGCGGCTGCTTCCGCGCCACCCTGCAAGACGCGACTCCTGAGGCGCCGCCGCGATGGACAAGCGCTTGTGCCACCCCTGCGCCCCAGGGCGCATGGTCGAGTCCGCTGTCTCGGGCTGCGTGATGATGCGGCAGCCGAAATTGTACGTGCCCTTCACGAGCGCCATCGGCCCATGCCCCGTCGGGGACGAGATGGACTCGGCCTGCGTCCACTGGCACAGGCGCTGCTTGAAGAAGAAGTGAATCCTGGCCTCCTTACTCGAGTAGCCCTCCACGTAGATCGTATTGGCGCCCTCCGAACTGCTGAGCAGCCCGCGCCTGTACTGCTCTAGGGTGGACTCGGTGCCTTTCTTGGTCCCGTCCGTCATGAGCACTTTGCGGTCCGCCCACTCCAGTGGCGCGCTCTCGGCGTCGAGGATAAGGCTGTCCGCCAACTCGAGCTGGGGGCTCTTGCGCATGGAGGCACTCTGCGACACGAGACACGCCTGCGACGGCGAGACACGGTGGGTGCAGCCCAAATCGTGGGTCAGGTACGTCTCGCTGTGCTCGCAAAAGCCGATGTTGGACTCGAGGAGGAGCGCGAAGCCCTCGTGGTGGTAGCCCTGAGCGTCGCAGATGCGCTTCACCACGTCGTACCACACTAGCGGGTGCCCAGGCCGCTGGTCAAAGTCGAGGTCAGCTGCAAGTTCGTGGGGTTCCCTAGTGTCATTGGCGATGGACTCCAGGCACTTCTTGATGGTCGCCACCGCGGTCTCCGCGTTCTCGAAGCCAGCGGAGGTCTCTTTGCTGAACAGGACGTCGTTGAGCGCACCCGCGCCCGCGGCGGCCCTAATCCTCTCGTTCCACTGCTGCACCAGCTCCGGGGCATCCTTCATAATCTTCCGTCGTTTCGCCGCGGCGCTCCTCCACTGAAGCCCGCGGAGGGGGTCGAGCATGACCGGGCCGTCGCCGGCTTGGCTGCCAGCCAGCTCGCCGTCGCCGGCTTGGCTGCCAGCCAGCTCGCCGCCCTGACTGGCAGCGGGCACGATGTCCATGGGGGCGCCCGCGGCGGGCACGATGTCCCGGGGAACCGCTGCGGCGTCGGCGGGCGCCGCCTCCGCAGGCACGATGTCCTGGGGAACCGCGGCGGCGGCGGGCGCCGCCTCCGCTGCTGGAAGCGCGCTGCCGTTCTGGCCATCCGTCGCAGCCCCCGCAGCGTCGCCGGAGGAACTGCCGGCGCCGCAGATGCCGGATGCCCTGGCCTGCGCTCGGCGACGAAGCACCCGCGTCCCCCCCTGGGCGTCCGGGATCGCAAAGACGCCGTGGCCCCCTGCCACTGGCGCCTTCTCTGCTGCGTCTGCTGTCATCTTGCATTTTGGGCATCGCTGCAGCCGTTTAGAAACGCCCCTTGCCTCCATGTCTCGCGCCAAGCACTCTGCATGGAAAACGTGCCCGCACATCAACGCCTCGCAAGGCGCCTCGTCAAAGTCTGACCAGCAGATCGCGCACATAGTGTCCCGGTCCTCCGCGTTCCCCGCCATCCCCGACTTGCCGCGCCAACGGCTCGTGGCGCCCTGTGCGCAACCCGCGCCCGGACGTGAGGCTTGGGCCCAAGCGGATACAATGATGATGATGCTAGCCTTGAGCACAGCCCCGACATCGTGCGAGCTCCAGCCAGGATGGAACAAGATAACCCAAGATGAATCGAAGGCCTCATAGGGCCTCCACAATGGCACAAGTAGCCCAAGCTGATTCAAAGGCCTCAGATGGCAAGATAGCCACATAGGACCTCCGATCAGGCACGAATAACCCAAACCGGTCTCCAAAACTGCGCAAAGCGACCGAAAAGTCGTTCTCTTCCTCCTCATCCGCCTCCTCCTCCGCCGCTGCGGCGGGGGAAACACGACGAACAATCGCCCGGGGCAACGCAATGGTGACGCCGACGACGCCAAAGACGACGACGCCCAAGATGGCACAACATAGCCCGAGAAGGCACGGGCTGGTGGGGGCGGGATGGCGGGGATACGCGAAGCGTGAAGAATTGTTTGGCGCAGCGGAGAACTGGGGGATTTGGGGCGCAGGAAGGCAGACAACAGCAAGTACTAGTCCACGACACGTTGCTTTCATCCAATTACCGCGGGCAGTGCAAGCGCGAGGTCGCTGACGCTGCTCCACAAAACACAAAAGCGAGAGGACACTAGTCCACGATCCAAGTCCCCCCGACAACGGAGCCTAAACTTACAAGCGTGAAGTCTCTGACCCTACTCCATGAAGCTCAAACGTGCGCTGCTAAAAAAAATGGTGAAACCGAGAACGTGCGAAACCGAATACAATTGAAACTTAATGCTGCGTGAATCCAGAAGATGTGTAAGTTCCCGCTGCCCCTCCTCCTCATGATCCTCCTGCCGTCAGTAACGCTCCAATCGCAAAGAGAAAGCAAGAACGTAAATTTACAATTTTGCTTCCCATTTTGCTTCCCTTCTCCCTCCGCCTTCCCCCTGTTAACGAGACGAAAGTGAAAGTCCCGCCCGCCCTCCTCATGAGCCTCCTGCCGTCCGTAACGCTCCAATCGCAGCGACAGCAAAAACGTCAATTTACAGTCTTGCTTCCCTTCTCCCTCCGCCCCCCTCCTGCACCCTCTTTCCGACGCCTGGGCCCGGCACGCGTGACAATCGCCTTTGACACCCATCCATCCCTGCCCCCTCCCTTGTCCATGTCAGGAGGGCGGAGAGGTTTAGCGCGGCAGGAAGGTCAGGAGGATTGAGGGGGTAAGAGGGCTGAGAGGGCAAGAAGGTCTCAGGGCTGACGAGAAAAGAGCGCCACGAGGGTAATAAAGCACAATGAAAATGCGATGGCGAGGGCCGGATAGTAAGAAGGTAAGAGAGTGAGATTGCGAAGACGGTGAGTGCTGTCCAGGGGGAAGGGGGGCAAGAGGGTAGGGTGGTGAAGCGGGTCAATGCTATTCGGGGGGTGCGAGTGTAAAAGGATTGTCTTGGTGACGTCTTGAGGCCGAGCCCGGGGTGTAAGAAGGTAAGAGAGTAAGACTGCGAAGACGGTGAATGCTGTGCAGGGGGAAGGGGGGCAAGAGGGTAGGATGGTGAAGCGGGCTAATGCTATTCAGGGGGGTGCGACGGTAAGAGGATCGTCTTGGTGACGTCTTGAGGCCGAGCCCGGGGTGGAAGAAGGTAAGAGAGTAAGACTGCGATGACGGTGAATGCTGTCCAGGGGGCCACGGGGCAAGAGGGTAGGGTGGTGAAGCGGGTCAATGCTATTCAGGGGGGTGCGAGGGCAAGAAGATCGTCTTGGTGACGTCTTGAGGCCGAGCCCGGGATGTAAGAAGGTAACAGAGTAAGACTGCGAAGACGGTCAATGCTGTCCAGGGGGCAGGGGCAAGAGGGTAGGATGGTGAAGCGGGTCAATGCTATTCAAGGGGGTGCGAGGGTAAGAGGACCGTCTTGGTGACGTCTTGAAGCCGTCTGGGAAACAGACTGAGAAACTTCTCGGTGCGTATGTCACCTGCTGACAGCATCGTTTCGAATGCTGCGTCGGGCAAAAAGCCCGGCCGGCGGCCTCCAGAGACCGAAACTGGCCGCGAATCATCCGTCGTGGGAAGTTTGGGATAAGAGGGCCAACAATGGCAAGATCGTTCGATGGATCGTGGATGTAAGAAGAAGACAGCATGAGGTATGAAGGTGAATAAGATAATGAACCAAAACAAAACACGACAGGGTTACTAGCAGGTTTAATAGGGTAAGATGGTCCAGACAGCACGTGGGCAAGATAATGAAGAGGGTATGTGCGCAAAAAAATAAAGGGCAAGAGGGCCAATAGTGTTAGGAAGGTAGGGGCGTGAAGATAGGGTGGGGTGGGATAGTGAATGGGGGGTATGATGGGGAACGGGTAATACGTTCAAACGGCAAAAATATTGAGAAGGCAAGGGGTGCAAGACGAAATGCACATCAGGGCTCGCAGGGCTGAGAATGCGAATGGGTCGGGGGGCAGAAAAGTTAGCGAAATAAGCGGGCTGGACGGGGAAAGGGTTAAGGGGGCAACATGGGGAAGGGGCGGCACTGCACTGTGGTACAAGGGAGCAACGAAGTCCCAACCTCAAGTGCGTCCCCCTCGGGCCGGCCGCCCTCGCTTCTTACGGGCGGGCGCGCCTCCGACAGGCGGTTTTCTCCTCCTCCTTCCCCTCCTCCCCCGCCTCCTCCATCATCCTCCTCCTTCGCCTGTTCTTCTGCCCGCTCTGCATAAGCCATGGGAACGCCCATCGGGTCAGCGCCGGGGCTGCTCGATGAACTACTAGTAAGCAATCAGCGCCAGGGCCGTTGCATACTAGCTCCCATAACACGCCGCGGACACTGGATTTGTTTTTGAAGGCCACGGAACCCGAGAGCAAAAAAAACAACGAAATGATGCACGTCGGCGACGAATCCCACAGGCGGTTTCCTCCTCCTCCTCCTCCTCGTTCTGGTCCTCGTGATCCCCGTGCGCCTCCACGAACCTCCATCGCATCTTCTTTTGCCCGGCCCGCCGCAGCCGCCGAATCATTCCATGGGAACGCCCGGAACTGCGGATGATCCTGGACCCGTTTTCGAAGGCCCTAGGGCCCGAAATCGGCCCCCGGAGCCTGAGGTCGAGAAAAATCCGCCGACCCTGTCGGCGTGTGTGAGGGGCTTTTCCGTTCGAGCCGTCATCTCCGTCATTCTTTGTACTCGTCGTCTCTGTCCTTCCCTTTCCTTGGGACTCCTCTTCCCCTGGGCTCCAGCCAAGCCGACCTTGAGCAACCTCGTAATTGAGTCGAAGGGAAGCCCCTTCCCTTTGATCCCTCCCCCGCCTTGTCAGATACACGCCCCCCCCTGGGACCTCCAGCCAAGCCGACCTTGAGCAACCTCGTAATGAGTCGAAGGGAAGCCCCTTCCCTTTGATCCCTCCCCCGCCGGGAGGGGGGGGGTAGGGGGGGGGTGCGACCCCCCCCCCGGGTCCCCCCCCTGGGACTCCTCTTCCCCTGGGCTCCAGCCAAGCCGACCTTCAGCAACCTCGTAATTGAGTCGAAGGGAAGCCCCTTCCCTTTGATCCCTCCCCCGCCGGGGGGGGGGGGGGGGGGGGTGCGACCCCCCCCCCGGGTCAGATACGACGCCCCCCCCTGGGACTCCTCTTCCCCTGGGCTCCAGCCAAGCCGACCTTGAGCAACCTCGTAATTGAGTCGAAGGGAAGCCCCTTCCCTTTGATCCCTCCCCCGCCGGGAGGGGGGGGGGGGTAGGGGGGGGGTGCGACCCCCCCCCCCCGGTCAGATACGACGCCCCCCCCTGGGACTCCTCTTCCCCTGGGCTCCAGCCAAGCCGACCTTGAGCAACCTCGTAATTGAGTCGAAGGGAAGCCCCTTCCCTTTGATCCCTCCCCCGCCGGGAGGGGGGGGGTAGGGGGGGGGGGGCGCCGACCCCCCCCCGGGTCAGATACGACGCCCCCCCCCGTCGGCGTGTGTGAAGGGCTTTTCCGTTCGAGCCGTCATCTCCGTCATTTTTTGTTCTCGTCGTCTCTGTCCTGCCCTTTCCCTGGGACTCCTCTTCCCCTGGGCTCCAGCCAAGCCGACCTTCAGCAACCTGGTAATTGAGTCGAAGGGAAGCCCCTTCCCTTTGATCCCTCCCCCGCCGGGAGGGGGGGGGGTAGCGAGGGGGGGCACCGACCCCCCCCCGGGTCAGATACGACGCCCCCCCCCCGTACCGACCTTGAGCAACGTCGTAATTGAATCGAAGGGAAGCCCCTTCCCTTTCCCTTCCCCGACGGGGGGGGGAGAGGGGGTCCCGGGGGGGGGGGGTCCCGAGGGAGTCCCGGGGAAGTCCCGGGTCAGATACGACACCTCCCTCCCCCACCTTCTCGTCCTTCTTCCCGTTCCCCAAAACCATCCCACAGCCCGTGCCTCTTGCTGCGCATTGCGAACGGGGTCGGCGGCACCGGCCGTCAGGCCTTCGCAATACAAACAAGTCGACAGCGAATCGTCGTCCTGGGATGGGGCGAGGAGGAGGAGGGGGAGTATCGAAGAAACGTTATTGTTTATTTGTTGTCTCTTTTTGGTCCTCCGAAAGCCTCCGTGGACCTTTGGAAACCCTGCGGGGAGCTCCTCCTCCTCCTCTTCCTCCTCGCGCTGGGCCGCTCAACAGCGCGCAGCCTGCGCAATTGCAGTCATCGCCTGCAGCGCCCCGGCTCGGTCGCCGACGATTGACCAGTCCATGGCGAGGAGGATGCGACGCCGCGCGCGGGGCGCGTGCGACTCATACTCGCTAAAGAGGCCGTGCCGCGACAGCCAGCCGAACATGTTGTTCATCAGCGCTGCCTCGACCGCCATCGTGGCCTCCGCGAGCACGCGGCACCTCGACCTCCACTCGTAGTCCGCGAGCGCATCTGGCGGCACCTTAGATTTGGACCGCGCGTACATCAAGAACAAGCGCCACGTGCAAGGCAGGCGCTGTGGAATATCCGCCACCGCGCCTAGAGGCACGAAGTGGCGCGTTCACCGGGCCCCCGCAGCCCCTGGCCCTCAACCCTGGGGAAACTTCAAGAGGCCCGCGAAACATGCTGCATGCATCTGGTGGAGCGCCGCTACTCACTGGCCTCGAATGACGCGATCCAGATTGCTTCGCCCCCATCAGCGGAGCGCCCCCCCGCGGCCAATGGCTTCGAACGACGCAACCCAGATTGCTTCGCCCCCGTCAACGGAACGCCGCTCCGCTAAGCGGCCTCGAACAGCGCGATTCGCCTTGCTTCGAGCCCGCTAGCGGCGAGCGCCCCGCTAATGGGGCCGACGGCAATTTGCAGAGCGCCGCCTTGGCACCGTTGGCGCCGCTTCGATCGCGTCGCCCGCCCCGCAGGCCCGGGGCCTACAACCCGGTCGCGGCGGCGGGATGGGCCGAAGGCCGCTCGATGCAAGCAGAAGGAGCTGCCGAAGTATTCATTGATGCACTCGTTGAGCTGCCGGAGCTTCGGCAGCGCCGTCTCCACGGCAAGGGGGAAACCGTCGGGCATGCACTGGGCGGCGGCGAGGAACGCCCGCGGGGCTGGCCCCACGAAGATGCACTCGCACCGGATGCGGAAGAGAAGCGCGCATTGGGGGCAGCGGCATCTAACAGGCGGGTTTCGCCCCCATGATGCGACCGTCACCGCCGCCATCGGCGGGCCTGCCCGCGCGGCTGCACGCGGCGCACCCGACCAACAAGAATATGTCCGAGAGCATGAACTTCAGCGGGTGGCAGTGCACCCTGGACGCAAACGGCAGCGACGGTGACACGGTGGGGCGACCCAGTAAGTCCAGCGTAAGCAAACTGAGCATGAGCGCTTCCGTCACCGCGAAAGCTCGCTTCACCAGCCCGGGGTCGTCCTCGCCAGCCCGCGCCATCTTCGCGACTCTGATTAAACTGCTCAGCTGGCCCGCGATGGCGAAGCAGGAAGCTATCCATCCCGGCAGAGCGTGCAACAGGTGGTCCATGATCCGGAAATTGCAAACAATCGGAACACCGAAGCTGCGCGGGTACGTGCGCCGCCTGCCGTCGTGCCCGTCGAACCACCCAGTGACAGACGACATCAGATGCAGTTTGCTGAGGACAGATGCGCGGAGAAAACCAGCAACCGCCTCGCTCGTGTCCGGCGTGACGCCGTCGCAGAGATGTCGAAGAGCAGCGCATGGATCCCGCATCACCGTATCCTCGATGAACTTGGCGGTTCCCGTGTATCGAAGCGTGCAATCGCACGCCAAACACGCAGCCAAGCGAGCCTCAGTCGCCGGCGCCGAACGGAAAATGCGTCGATAGATGCTGACCGCAAAACACGCGCGCGACCTGAGCGCCGCGTCCAGGCGAGGCTGCCTGCCCAACAAGGGCGCGTGCGACACAATAGCTCGATGCAGCGACGGGGCGCGCTCTAGCCCAGACTCCACGCGATCCCGGGTTTCCTTCGGGACCAACACGTCCGGCTGGACCACAACTAAGAGGCAGTAGAAGTAGAAGAACGCGCGGAACAAAGGCTTGTTGGTGAAACCCATGCGGACAGGGCATGGCGAGATGGGCGAGATGGGCGAGAAGGGCAAGGCGAGCAAGCTGGACAAGCTGTTGTGCAAGAACACGAGCCTCATAGGTCAGTGCTCCGAGAGGCTGTTCGCTAGCATGGAGGCTTGGCGGCAAGGAGGCGATCGGAGGGACCCATGGTGCGTCCTCGACATGATGGGCATCCCAGTTCAGAGTGCTGCCGTGATGCGTTTCGCTCGCAACCAGACTTTGAGATTGGCTGGCGGTGTGTTCAGGCGTTACGAAACGAAGTATTCGTCCAAGCCTTACGACATGCACGTTCTATCGCTTAGTACTACCACTGCAGAGCAGAAAGCGCCTTGCATCGAGCACCTACTGGCTGCCGACGACGACGAGCTGGACCTGTACAGCCGCGGAATCCGCAAACTGTTTACTAAGGAGGAGTTGGGGTCGAAGGAGTGCGAGCCCCTTCTCAGGTCAGATTTCATGACGCACGCTTTCAGCACTGACGTGATTGAGAGGCTGAACTCTGAGATCACCCATGGCGTGCCTAAGCGAGCTCCAGCGACCAATTTCACTCAAGCGGCGAGGAGGAACCTTCTGAGCCAAGCGGCCGCGATCCATGTCTAAAACGGTGGGCGTCATCCAACGAGATCCATCAACAAGCCACTTACTTCGAGCATGGAGGAGATCGAGCGCCCACTGTTGCTGTGCGACCCCCCTGACGCAGTGGAGTGCGTCATGGCACAAGCCGCCACCGACTCGGCCCTTGTCCATCCCGAGCTGGCGGGTTCATCGGCTGCGGCGGCGCTGCCAGCTGGCCCAGGCGCCGCGGCGCAGGTGTCCGAGGATGGCGTCGCTGTCGTTCCTGTCGGGGACCAAGGCGGACCAATCTTCCCACCTTGTCGAACGGTATCGGGGTGCATCGACGTCCTTCCGCACGAGAACCCAAGTACTAATAGTACTGGCAGGTTTGCACCTGGCCTCAACCCTTACTTGTTGGAGAAGAACCAGTGGCTGCGTGCTGTGAGGGCGCTGAGAGACTCTCCGATGACCGATGAGGAGGTGAAACAGGTGACGGAGGAATTCCATGTCTTCTGGGAGAACGTCGCCGACAAAGATTGCCACAACGAGGCGTACGACGAGTGGGTGCGAGAGAAGCAACAACATCATGAACGAGAGCGGCCCTACAAGTACGTGCAGCAGTGGGGGGGCGGGAGCTTCGTCTCGCCAACCAGCAGCGACGAGTTCTGCAAGCACATCAAAGGTTCAAAAGGTTGGCCAAGCGATGCCGACGTCACCGACGCCAACCACGAGGAGGGCCTCGCCAAGGCAAACTACTTCGTGGATTTCGGGCCTTCGAAGAGCACGAATCTGTGGAGCCTCGGAGCTCGACCCCACGACGTGAACCCGATGAAGGTCGCGGGGGGGAGGTTGAAGTTCACGCTGGTCGAGAAGGGCATCAGCAACGTCATTGCCAGGCTGAACAGGACCAAGGTGGAGTCTGGCGACGTTATGTTGATAGTGGAGGGCCCGGACATTGCTGGTGGTGGTCTTTATCATCGGCTACTCGTCCAAGTCATCGGGTCATGTTTTTCACCTCTTGTGTTTGATTTCGCACGCCACAGATGGGGCAGAGCTTCGTCGGACAGCGATCGCCCTTTACTTTGCCCTTGTCGGGCTGTCTTGGGGGGGCGGGCATCAAGGATAAGTGATAAGTTCAAAGTCGTGAACGCGCAGACGTCAGATGAGTTTGTCCGCGAGTGCTGTGAGTTGTTCTCGGCGATGGAGCTTTGCGAGGTGGAGTGGGACCCCATCGACGTGGACGGTACTCTTCTGTGGGTGGAGGTGAAGTCCGCGACCGCTCTCGGCACCTTGTGGAAGGAGGGCTTGCGCGTCCCACTGGGCAGCGCGGCGGCTAAGCGAAAGGACACCAGCGCCTCGACCTTCAAGAAAATGAAGACGGACGACCCCCTGAACCCATCCAGCGACACGGCGAAGACGTCGTCATCGTGCGCCGCATCGACCAAGGCTGCCAATGGGAAAGTCGATCCGACAAGTGCATGCGGCCCGATCGCAGCAGCAATTACAGGAGGACCCGAAGGAGCATTGGGCAACGATGCGGCCGTGGCTGCGTCGCTCGGCGCGGCAGGGGCCGCCGACGCAGGTGCCGACGAAGGCTTTCAGCTGGGTGCTTTGGACGGGGAGTTCGCGGTCGCTCTCGGCGAGATGGACGTGGCGGACCAGGAGGACGCAGAGATCCATGGCGGCGATGACGACATGACAGAGCTGCTCGACACCTGGGGCGGCAACCAAGAAGACCACCATGACGAACGTCCAGACGATGGCGAGATCGACCTCGACGACCCCATCCTGCTCATGTCGGGGCGCTTGCCAAGATGTATGAGGACGCAGCTGGCGGCGCTGATGTCCCCAGTGGCGGCGCCGACGCTGGAGTTGAAGATGGGCCTCTTGCCGAAGATGTTGCTGAGCCTCCGCAGCCTTGGGAACAACTTGGGGAGCCAAGTGCGAGCGGATTCGTGGCGTACAAGAACCGAATTATCATGAGGGTTCAGCGGGGTCGGCCTGCCAAGAGCGTTACCGTGACGTGCTACCGTCACACAGGATGTTCATTATGCATCACAGAAACGCGGTGCCCTGCGGACCAGGAGCTGTTCAAGTGGCTCTTCGAGGGCGACCCCAACAATGACGGCGACTCCAAGGACCAGAGGCGCGAGAAGGCGCGCATCCACATGGATTCGGCCAAGAGCAGGTGGTATGCGAAGAAGCCTGCTGCGAAGTGACTGACCAGAAAAATGAAACCTCAAGAGCCCCCCCCCCCAAAAAAAAATAACTCTGAGCCCCCCCAGCAGGGCCCTCAAGAGACCCCCCAAGAGACCCCCAAGAGACCCCCTCAGGATAACTCTGGGCCCCTCAAGGGACCACCAAGAGCCCCCAAGAGATCCCACCAAACGAGCCCCCAGCGGTTCCCAAGATGCCACCAACTGGCTGTAGCGAGTCTCCCGAAGGGGCCCCAACGAGACCTCAACGCACACCCGATGCGTTTCAAACCAGGGTTGGGGGAGGCGGGGTGGGAATAGTTAAGACGCCGAGCCCGACGAAGCTGACGACGATTACGACGACGAAAACATCCTTGACGACGACGCCTCATTATTCGTCGTCGTAGTCGCCGACCGCCCTCCCTTCATGCGCCTTGTACGGCGCGCGGCAAACCGTTCCATGACAGCCGCCCTGCCCCGCCGCCAGAGGGAGGAGGGGGGGGAGAGGGCGGAGAAGTTTTGCCGAATGACGTCGTATGAGAATCCACCTGTGCGCCCGTGGACCGTAGTGCTATCCTGTCTGAATTTTGAGGCGGCATGGTGCATGGGTGAGCCTGAGCGCGCGTAAAGCCGAACGAAAACAACCATGTGTAGCTAGGCCTGAGCGTGGCGAAGTGCGAATGTGCATGAGTCTGCGAATGAACAAGTCGGCGCACGCGCGAGTCTGAGTACGAGTGGGAACTTGGCTTGGCACCCCAAGCTTTCGGCCTTCAATGTTATTGCGTTGCCTGCCCACGAACAAGTAGGTGATACATCCCTGAGGCAGCTGCCCCAACCGCCTGCCCCCGACCTGCCGCCGCCCGCCAATGTCGCGACAAATGCTGGGCTGTCTGCTTTCGCGACTGGGCGCGGCGAAGAAGGTAATGGCGGGTGCGATGGGGGGCGGTTAAAGGACACTCGGCTCGCAATCAATTAAAGTTATTCCGTCGCGGTGTGCCTTCCTTCAAGGTCAACGCGCAAGCTTGCTGAGACGCTTAAGCTAACTGATATTAAAAGAAACACGTCGGCACGCGCAGCTTCGAGTGCCCCGTGAACGCGCTGTTCACTGCTATCGCTTATCTATCGGCCACCTCTCCGCCGAACGCCCGCGTTCAAGGTTGGCGTGGGGGGGGGGTCGGGGGCGATAGTCGGCCACGCGCGCGCTGCGCGCGAACGATAGCCACTTGATCCAGACCAAGCCATGCGCAACGTTATATGGCTGCGGAAAGTGAGGCTACGCGGCCGCGAAGTTCTAGCGCACGGATCGCCAGTAACGTCATTGGCATTGGTGACGCGCCGCCTGGCACAGTGCTGGCTGCCCCGCGCGGGGTGTTCCGCGGCCGCGCAGTCGACCGCGACCTTCACGCGTAGGGGGCAACAGGGCACTTATGGCGCGCCCCGATGGGGCTCGGCGGATCGCCCGGCGCTCAACCGTCGGCGATTTCGTTGCCCTAGTGGACACTGCCGCCCCCCGTGAAATCACCGTTGCTTCTCTGGGCGCGGGCAGCGTAAACGTCGCGTACCCCCTTGCTTCTTTCGCAACAACTGCGCTGCCACGCGGGGGGCCAGCCGCTCATGACCCGAACGCCCGCATCGCCGAATCGACGGCAATTGCGCGGTCTCGGTCGCCGCAAGCTGCGCGCTTACGTTGAAGGCTTAGGGCTGCGCGAACTCAACATCTCTTCGCGCGCGGCTTGCGCCGCGCGCCCCCTGCGCATTATTCGGGCTAACGGCCCCGTGAGCGCACCCAGAAGACTCCGCCGCTGACGTTGCAGCGCCCGTCTGCCGTGGCGCTCCGTGGCGCGCCCGCGCGGCGCGCCGTCGCAGCTGGCGCCCAGCCTGCCGCTGCCCGCCCGCGCAACTCGCCACGCGCCCCCCCCCCCCACCCAGCCTCTTCGCCCCCCATCGCGCATCCACGCTCACGCCATGCACGCGCGCGATCCAATGCCAGCGCGCGCATTTCACGCGCACGCACGCAAGCACACGCGCACGCTCGCGCGCAAAACTCTCACACGCGCGAGCGCCACGCCAACCGCCTCCACCCCCTCCCCCCCTCGCTCGCACGCGCGAGCTAAGCCCCCCCCCCCCTCCCGCCCACCCACCCACCCCCCGCCCCGCCCGCCCCCCCGCCCAACCCGCCCTCCCGCCCGCCGCCCCCCCCCCTCCACCGCGACCACCACCCTCTACATCACCACGCACCTCACTCCATCCCCACCCACGCATCCACATGTCAAGCTCCCCGCCTCCACCGCCATCGCCGCCGCGCGCGCGCCCCCGCTCGCCCCGCCCCGACTTGATTGCCCGCCGCCGCTCCATTCCCTCACCCCAAATGTCTTGTCACGCCACCGCCGCCGCCGACGCCAGTTAGCCCGCCCGCCACTGCTGCGCGCTGCCCCCCCCCTCTTCCCCAGCGCCGCCCGTCGCGCCAGATCGCGCCGCTTCCACCCTCCCAGCATCGGCGCATCACCACTTCCCATCCCGAGCCACCGCCACCGTCGCCGCCACCCCCGCTCGGCACGACCATCAAACGCCACCGCGCCCCGTTTCGCCAACGCTCCCACCGAGCCCCCAAGCGCGGCCACGACTGGGAAGCGGAACCCCATGCGTGCTGAACGAATGCAGGGACACACGTTGGACCCCCCCCCTCGCGCATGGCTATCGCCGCAGACGTCCTCGCGCCCAGCGCCGCTCGCCCGCCAACCGACCCGCCCGCGCCCGCTCGACGCTCGCTCGCCTCGCGCGCGCGCCGCTCGCCCCTTCCACCCGCCCGACAACGTCGCGCGCCCCCACGCTGCGCGCCCGCCACCGCCGCGCGCACGCACTCGCGCGCGCGAAGGCTCGCGCTTGCCCGCGGGCGCATTCACGCGCACGCACGCGCGCGCGCATCCCCCCCGTGTCTCGCTCGCGCGCACGCACGTTCGCTCGCTCATCTCCAAACACCGCCACCGTGATCACGCCAGCCCTCCGAGTTCGTCCACGCGCGCGCGACGCGCGCCATCGCTCGCCACTTCACAGGCGCAACCGAGATCACTAGATGGCCGTTGCAACGTCGGTGCGGTTTAGGTTCGCCGATGAGCCAAAAGAAGAGCGCGTTCTGGACGTGCCGCACCGACGCGAACTTACCTTGCGCAGCCAGCGCGTCGCCCGCGCGGCATTCCGAATATTCCACGCACCCCCGCGGCGTCGCGTTTCCCAGGGCTGGTCATAACTTGATCGCGCGCTGTGACAAAAAAAAAAAAAAAAAAAAAAACACAGCGGCGGCTGCCAGAATTACTGCTCTGGCTAGCAACGCACGGCGCATGTGCTACAAGCCACCTCGCGCCTGCCACCGCGCCGTGTTGGAGGCGCCAAGTGTCCGCGACATCGGCGCGCGAACTTAACTCGCGGCGGCGAACGAGGGGGGGCGCAGTTGACTCCAGCGGGGCACATCAACTGGCACCCCCAACACGAGACGCCGACGTCAACCGTCAACGTCGGCAGTCGACTAGGCGCGTCAAGACGTCAACAGGCGCAGTCGACAGGGCGCGTCAAGTTGCGTCTGGACGTCAACAGGCGCAGCCAACTAGGGGCGTCAACAGCAGGTGGGCCAGTCAACAGGGCACGTCGACGTCAACCGTCGACGTCGACAGTCGACTTCAACTTCGAGCCCAGCAGGCCAAGTCGCGCGTCAACATCGCAAATGCGAGGCGAGTTGGGAGTCGCTTCTTCCTTGAGCGAGTTGTCCAGACTCCCGCATGCGCCCCCGCCCCTCCCACTTCCCGTCCCAACAGCCACCGCCTCACCTCCCTTTTTCGCGCGCGCGCCACCGCCTGCCACGCCCATCCGCGCGCCCCATGCGCGCCTGAGCCGTCGCTCACCAGCTCGCCCACTCGCCCCTCGCTCTATCGATCCCACCTCCCCCACGCACTTACACCACCCACAGCATTACCGCTCGCCAGCATTGCACCGCTGCGCATATTTCCCAAGCACCTGCCCTTGCCAACTTACCGCCCGCCCCCACGCGCACGCAACTCCTTCTCCTTGCGACCGCCCGCGCTCCCCACCGCCGCCACCGCAGCGCCCGCCACGCCCAGCCCCACTTCGCTCGCCCCTGCACCCACGCGCTTGCGCCCGCGTGTGCGTGCTTTGGTGGATGGGGTGGGCGGGTTGGTGGGGTGGGGTGGCGTGGGCGCGCGCGTCGGTCAGTGCGCTTGCGTGTGCGTGCGTGGGTGCGTTGTTGCTTGGGCTCGGGAGGTGGGCGCGCGCGTGCGTGCGTGGGTAGGGAGGTGGGCAGGCGCGCGATGGGCGCGGCGGGATGGCGCGCGCGTTTTGGGCTTGGGGGATGGTGTGGTGGTCGTGGTGGGGCGGGTGGGTGGTGGGGGTGGGGGTGGGGGGGGGGTGGGGGGGGGGCCGCGTGGTTCGGGGTTTGGCGAGCGGCGTGGAGGGCGCGCGGGCAATGGTGGCGGCGGCGGTGGTGGGCGGGCGGGAGCAGGGTGCGTAATGCATGGCGTGGTGGGCGGGTTTGTGGGATGGCGTGGTGGGGCTAGCGTGCGTGGTGGTCGGGGGCGTGGATGTGGGGCATGGTGGTGGGGGTAGCGGGGCGTTGGTGGGGTGGGTGGCTGGGGGGTGGGGGTTGGGTTGGTGGTGGGGGGATATTTTTTGGGAGTGATTGGGGCGGGGAGGCGTTGGGGCACGGGCACAAACGGTGGCGGTGGTGATAAGGATTGGGTTGGTGGTGGCGGGGGGATACATGGTTGTCATTGATGACGCCGTGGAAACTCTGCGTTTTTGCGTTTGCGTTTTGGTGTCGCGCGCGTTTGGTTTGCCACCGTTTGTCGTTATTTCGGCGTTGTGTTGGGGGGTCGCGCTACCTTTTGTTGCCGACAAACGGATTTAAGCAATTCCCCATCCACGCGTCGGTGGCCCTCTGCGGGTCGGAGGTTCATTTACTCGTCCGTAGCCCCACAAAACTCGGATGGACCTTACCGTTTCGTCCCCTGTGGGTGATCAAAAGAATAGCTCGCGGCCGCGCCTGCAAACCGTTTTGCGTCGTGCCAGGAGCGGGAAAGCGAAGACCACACCGGGTAGGTTTAATTTTTCTGGGCCCCCGATCTCACAACGTTGTTCCCGTCTACGAATGCCAGACCATCTTCTGAGTGGGGCTTGTGATACGCCTGGCATATATTGCTATATCGTGAGTATGGGGCGATGTTGCTTCTCCGATGTCAACTCCAGTGTTGATGCCTTCTTCGGCTACTTTCAGGCAGCCCAATCATGTCGCAAGTGTTGGGGTTCAAGCTAGCCGCTGCGAGCGCATCCCGCGTTGCCCCCCTCAACCTTGCATTCACAGCGGCGGCGCTGGCAGGAGGCTCCCACTGCATCCTTGCATCTTCGGTTCGCCCACGCCCTTGTTGCCTCGCATCCTTGGTGCGCGCCGTCGCTGTGGGCATTGAGGTTGTCGCAGATCATTCCCTGAACCAGAGATGGCCGATGCGAGCAGCAGTGGCAACATTGGCATCAATTCTGTGAACGCCAAGATGTTGAAGCAATCCGTGGGCGCTTCCTGCGACAAGTGCATTGCCACCGCGCATCGTAAATTGAACGTCGACCATCCAGCTGTCAGGGATACATTGGACCGCCTGCATCGCCTGAGGAGTGAAAGCGACGCTCTGTCAAGGCGTCTTGTTAGGTTGTCGAATATCAAGAGTTTGCAGAAAAGGGCGGCCTCCACCAAGATAACGATTGCGCTGCCTGACAAGGGCCAGGGGGCGCCTCCAGCCATGGCTGAATCCGAATCTGATTAAGTTCAGCCCAGCCTTATTGTCCGCCTTGCGTGGATTGGCTGACGCTGTTCGCGCGTATGCTGCGGCTCGCTTGATTTGCACCAGTGTATTTTTGCCTGTAGCCAGACTCGTGCGCTGAGCACCGAGGTTGTGCCAACGCAGCCTTTGCAAGTCTGCGTGAGCTTGTCTGCGTGTTTTCGTTCGGGCATCTGCGAGGCGGGGAAGTCTCATATTTGGTTCCGTGGTGATGCCCTGAAACTGTTGAAACGCACCCTTGGGCGAATGCTTGAAGGAATGGAGGGGCGGGGGAGGAGGGTAGGGGCAGGCGTGGGGGAAGGGGCGGCAGCAAACATGGGAATGGAGGATTGGATGTGATAGCGGTTAATGGGGGAAGGCTCTTGGAAGACCTTGACTTGCCACCCGCTCGTTCCTTTGCCCCCTCCCCATCCCCAGCTGCACGAAGCACGCAGCTGTCCTGCGCTGCGAGACTGGAGAGAAAGAAAGGTAGGACATGGGAGAGAGAGGGAGGGAGGGGGAGATAGAGAGAGAGAGAGAGAGAGAGCGAATGAACCAACATGGCATAGACATGAAAAGAACTGGTTTGAGAACTTGTTGGGATCCGTGCTCCCCGTATTTATGTTTGCTCCTCGTCATCCTCCTCGTCCTCGCGCGCCTTTCCTAGTCTTGGCAGGGTCCTGGAGAGTCTTGGAGTGTTGGAAGTGTTCGGCGGCGGGATCGCATTCTCTAAGCTTCTGGGGTTCCCATGCTTAAATCTGTGGTGCATCATTTTAGCTTTGGGGTCCAGGTGTCTGCTGAGGAGGCTGGACAACGAATGTCTCTCTCCCCCCAAGCCCACCATGAAAAGATCAGTTATATGACTGTTGTGGGTGGTAGTTTCGATGCCCCCCCAGAAGCGACGTCTCACTTCAGAAGGGGGGCGTTGCAAACCACGGGGGCCACCAGAAAAAACAACGCAAATGCCCAGGATGAGCAGGCTCAGACACGCGGTGGGCCGAACGGGGCCATGTGCCCAAGGCGGCGCGCCCTCACCTCAGGAAAACAAATTGAGGCCGAATGGGCACGTTCTCCCACGACCTCCTCCTTCCCCCCCGTATCTCCATAGCCATTTTGGCCCAACCTGGGCGATGCCACAGCCTCCTAGTATGGTGGCGTGCCCATAGTCATCTTGCGGGTTGGCAACGAATACCAGTGCACGCAGCCTCTTGCACCAGCTATCGCATTGTCTTGATGGCGGCGGCAATCACGACGAAGGAAGAGCACGAGCAGCTGGAACGGGAGTTGTTCGAAGACGGCTCGTGCGAGGGCAGCCAACAGGCCGCCAGCAAACCCAATGGCGAAGGCCCGAGTTCTTTTCAAGTCGGCCTGTTCGAGCCAGACCCTGCGCGTTGCGCCAAGTGTTTCGATGACTTCGCTGGGCAGAGTGGGCTCCCCCGGTCGCCTGGCGGACATGGTGTTCACCCTTCTTCCACAGACCACAGCACGTGCCAGCAATGCCTGGACTTGAAGGAGTTGGTGTCTGAGAAGCTGGACGGACCACCCGGCACGGTGGAGTTCCCCAACGACAGCGACGCCAATCAATGGCCATTTTTAATACACTGCTACAGGGTGCTTCGCCATGGGTCGGCCGACGGCACGGTGACATTGCACGAGTTGGCCATCGAGTGGGCTGAGATTGCGAGCAAACGGTACCAAGAGGCTGGCGAGATCCAAGTTTCTGCTTTACCAGAGGGCGGTGAGAGCTGCACGCGCACAGACAATCCAGCATCGGAGTCAGGAGGAGCGAGAGACAAGCCTGTAGATGGCAGCGGCTCTGGCACAGCTGGCGAGATCAAGCATGAGGAGGATGCACTTGCACAACCTCAGCGTGTCAAGCAGGAGTTCGGGTTCCGCCGAAGCGGCTTGTCGGTGGCGGCGCCTGCCGTGGCTTCAGCGGCTTGTGAGACTGGTGCGAGTGAAGGCACGTGTGCGGCCGTCGGCATTGACGTGGACTCCGAGGACGACGGCGACTCAGACTCATTGAACAAGTTTTCCTTGACTGAGCGCTTGCCCAAGGGCCAAGTGTACATCAGCTTCGGGAGGATTCGTGGGACAATCAACCAGTACGTTGAGGCTCTGTCGCACCTGGGCTGGCTACCAGACTGCAGGATACAGACCGTACAAGCACTCGAGCGCCGTTTGAACCAGCACAGCAGTGAGATCTCCCAGCAAGCGAACGTTGACATAAAGACTTCATTCAAACAGCTTTCGATGCGCGTGGAGACAACGATCATCCTGTTCAAGCTCTTCAAGACGTGGCACGACGAGAACAACGATGCGTCCTTGGTCCATGTGCTTGATGCAGTTTGCAAGTTGAAACCGTTCCTTCGTTTCCAGAAGAAGTCTGTGGGTGCCGACTTGGAGATGATCCTTATCTACGCGCAGTTCTACAAGGATTTGGCCAACGGCATGGGCATTGACGAGGCAATCAATTCGCTGAACTTCGACCGTCTCACTGAGTGTCACAAGATCGTAACCGAGAATGCTGGCAAATTGACGGGGGCGATGACCAAGACCACCGACGGCGCGAAGGTCAAGGATAAGGACGCCGCCGATGGCACAGCAGAGGGCGAAGCATCACCTTCGAAGAGGCGCATGCAGTTCACCATGCCGAAAGACGTGATCGCCAAGCGTGTATTGGTCCATCCCGTCGAGCAGTTCGAGAAGCTGGTGGGCGATTCCATGGCGAAGTACATCTTCACCTTGAGCCCCGACATCGTGAATGACCAGAAGGCGGTGCAGCATTGCCATGAGCTCATGGAAAGAACGCGCCAGGCGTGGCTTACCAAACACAACGGCTGCCTCAGCAATAAGGCGGGCCAGCTTCTCGACGCGTTCGTGACGATCGCGCCGTGCGCGAAGTCGGACGAGAGGGAGAGGCCCAGCGTCGACAGTGCGAGGTGGGCCAGGAGGACAGTGATGGCGGCAGCGAAGGAGGATGCCCCATCACCAGAGATGGCAAAAGCAATGGCGGTCCACCCTGCAGGCATGGCGTTCATGAAACGGGCTCTCAGCCACGCCAAGGTCGGCATCGAGGATGAGGCTGCGAGCAGCGGGTTCGAGTTCAGCGTCGGCCGCTTCGAGGACTTGCTCGATCCAGCCTTCGAGAACGCAACCTCTTGGCTGAAGGCGGGGAATGGCGGCAAGCCGATGACCTGCGATGCGTTCGGGAAGTATTTCGAGGCGTGCATGGTGATGAGAGTTGCTTGCACTCAGGCCCTCCAGCGCTGGTCCACGAGCGCCTTGGAGCAGCACGCCGAGACTCTGGCGAGCGCTGGGCACGACTGATATCCACAGCCACTTCCACATCCCTATCCTTCCTCATCTAACTCCTCCTCCTCACCCCCGCCTCGACTCCGAAACCGACCGCCACGCTAGCTTGCCTTTTTTAATTGGGCCCGCCCTGCCTTCGGAAACTCGCCAGGGGGGGGCGGGAGAGGATGGAGGGAGGGGTGCAAACCCAAACGCGACGTCCCTCAACACGTTTGCTGAGTGCGCTGTTCGTGCTGCGCATGCTGTCGTTGCTGGTCGTGCTCGCTCTCGTAGTCGTCGCCGTCCCCCAGCTGTCGTCGTCGTGCTGCTCGTGCTGATGCTGGCCCCCCTCCTCGGCCTCCCCAACTCCCTCTGTTCTTTGTGTAAATGAAGTGGCTGTGTGAGTCTGGGCCACAGGCGAATACTGCATCAAACATGTACGTCCTGTTGCACGCAGGGAACTTCGTCTACATAGATACCGTCAGAGGTTGAATCGGCCATCTCCTGGGGCAAGCTTCACAGGCGGGCATGGCAGATTCGTGTGCTGCCGCAGGCGGCGACAATTCAGGCCCCATCCAGACAGAGGTCGTCAAAGCCGAGTGCGAGTCGACCCAGCCTGGCGGCGACGGCAATGTGCAGCCGACAATGCCGTTCTCGTCGCCAGTCCGCCTCTTCGCTCACATCCGTGAGATCGACGCCACTGTGAAAGCGACGCGCCCGCGCTTGAGAGCCTTCGTTGAGCTGATGCTGAAGTCTGCGCTGGGCGCCCAGAAGCTGCACAAGCTCGCGGCCACCAGAGTGGGCGGCTCTTGGCACGATCACTTCGACAAGGACGCGTCGGGCGACACTGTCCTGAGACATTTCAACCACAACGTTGCGGTCATCGACAAGATTATCATATACCTTGAGAGCCTTCACTTGCTTGCCGACCCAGACTGGTGGCTCGACGGCGAGTCACTTTCAAAGAACAGCACCAAGCCCGACGAGCAGGCCCTCTGCAACTTCAGCAAGGTCCACCACGAGCACACCTCAGTCACGCCCTTCACCGTGCTGACCTCATCCACCCTCGATCTCCCCGAGGTCGGAGATGACATCGCAGCGTTGTTCGCGGCGTTTGCTGAGCATGTCGGCCAGCGCATGTACGACTTCAAGGCTACAGCGTTCTTGGTAGATAAGAGTTCTACGATTTCTGACGTGGAGGTGCTCCTGGGGAGCGTTCACGCCGACGTCTTAAAGGAGTGCGACGACTCGGCCCTGTATCCTCACTTGCTGCCTAAGGGCGATGCCGACAATGTTGCGAAGCTTGCGCCCATTGATGTTTCTGGAAGCAAAGGGGATCCCAAGGTGTTGGAGCTTCTCCCTCATAACCGAGCTCTCGAGCACCTGCGATGCTTCATCAGAGCAGTCATGCTGACGGAGATCGACGTCCCTGGCATGTTCTACTCAACTGTGGATGCACCGGAGCCCAGCATCGACCTGTGCATGTTCGCTATGGAGCTCAAGTGCGCTGTCGCCGACGTGGTCGCAGTCATTTCCTCAGCCGAGGTGGCTATAGGCAGGAAGGCTCGCTCCAAGGATAAGCAGTTCATGAGTCAAGGGTACCTCTGCGGGACGGCCACCTTCATATTGCAGATCCTCCACGGTGCGCGACAGAAGCTGGACAGCATGGCCAACGACCCCAGGGCCATGGAGTTCGAGAAGACAGGCTGGCAGCTCCGCGAGTCGATCCACACCATGCGTCACTGGTGCTTGTTGGCGGCAAGAGTCAGCGGGCGTTACGAGAGCATGCTCTTGCTGGGCATGGCCGAGGTCTTGACCAACGAGGGACAGGCGACGGCAAAGGTCACCCCTACTTGGACAGCATGTTTCGTCGACGACGTGTTCAACGAGACGATGGCAATGGTGATGCTCAAGAACAAGCTGGACGTCGTGATCAACCGCCACAACTCACTCCACACCTGCATCAAAGCCTTCTCCACGTCAGCAGCCGTGCTGTCCATCAACCCCCGCGTGCAGGACCACCCGACGACGTCCGAGTCAGTGAACGTGGCACTCCAGTTGCTGAAGGACGCTGCGGAAGCAAGCGTGGTCATCAGGGGCGTCGACCTGTTGACTGCGTATCGTCATCGCCCTGAGGGGCCGACGAAAGCGACGGAGTTCTTGACGGAGAACGAGGGTCGCTACCCCAAGGTACCGCAGTGCTTCTGGCAGTTGTTCAAGGACCTGCAGGCGCACGCACTTCCAGCCCAGCCTTTGCCAGCACAGGCTGGCGAGGCGTTGGCCCCTGGCGCAGGCGCGTCTGGGGGCGGAGCCCACCTCGCGCCAGCCAAGAAAAGCTTAGCGGACGGGTCTATTCACACTCCGACCCCAAAGAAGCCGCCTGCCCCGAGTTCAGCCGATGGCAGTCAGCACGTGAAGGCCAAGGCCCCTAGCGTTTCAGATCGCCCCGCCAAGGGTTTCAAGCGCGCCAAGCGCTCCTGAGCCTCAGGAGTTTCAAGCGCAGCAGGCACTAGCATAGCATGCAAACGTAATGCAGCATTAAGCAGACATAGACACATAAGGGATCAGCATATTGCATATATCGTGACACGCATGCTTGTGCAAACACTCTGGGCCGCTGGTCTGCATTGGGCTGGCTGTATTTAGCTAGGGTGCCGCAATGCAGTTTAGGTTTGGATTCTAATCTCGGCTGGATGCTCTCAGAGTGCGAGCCGACGTCGAGGCAACGAGAAAGTGGTGTTGAGGGTGTTGGGGGCGCGCCATGCGTCGGGCGGTCGGAATATCGACCCCGTCTACTCCGACCGTCGGAGTATCGCGCGATGCAGCGAGCGCACCGTCTACTCCGACCTCCGACGTACGGCACATCGGGCTCCACATCGAGCTGCATCGGCGATGCATCGGCGATGCGGCGCGATACTCCGACGGTCGGCGTGGCCATTGCTTCACGTGCCGTTGCATTCAATACCGTTGGCATATAAGGATCCTCTCACACACACGCGTAAACACATGTGCTTTGACCTGCGTACCACTCGTGCGCCACTGATGTTGCCAGCCATTTTGTCTCATCACTCTTCCTCGACCTCCCGTCCTCCTCCTCCACCTCCCCCTCCTACCTTTCTGATTTGTCCCCCGTCCCCCCATATGTCCTCCCAAGTCCCTATCTTCCCTTGCCTCCTCGTTCCCCTCCACCTCCCTCGCATCCCCTACCGTCCCCTCCTCGCCCCCTTTATCCTCACCCTTACATTCCTCACCCTCCCTCTCGCCCCCCTCCTCCCCCTGCCCTTGCGCCGCCGTGGATCGTGCGTGATTCTGGCGTTTTGGGAGCTGCATGCTAAATGCGCTTCGGCGCCAACGCGCTGATTTGCCGTTCAAGCTTGCGATCGGCGCGGAGTGTCCGAGTTGACCGCCCAAGCCCTTCCATCAACAAGGAGTTGGCGGACCCCCCTGCCGACCCGCCCTGACGTGCATTCGTGGGGTCCTTCCAGTCCAGCCCCCCCAGACGAACCCAAATCCTCGTTTCCCGATCTCGATCCTTGAGCCTCGAGCTTCCATGCGAAATCGGCCCGTGGACCTGTCGATGGGGCGCGCTCTGGCCAGACTCTAGTCGCTCTCCAGCCGTGGCGGCGAGGGCGTCCCGGGGCGCGAAAGGGGGGGCGAAAGATTTGGACAAGTCGCGACGACGACGACAACCCGGGATAGTTTTTCGTCCTGGATCCGTTTTTGACGGTCCCAGGCCCCGAAAGCGGCTCCCAGAGGCCTAAAACGAGCAAGAATCCTTGAAGGTCGGGGATCGACGACATACTACGACGACGACGACGACGACGACGACGACGACGGCGGCGGCGGCGGCGGCGGCAGCAACGACGTCTTCGGCGGCGGCGGCGGCGCGTTTTTGCTCGACGTTTCCGGGGAGATTTCGGGCCCTAGGGGGCCGCCGTCGGGCCCCAGGGCCGCCAGAAACGGGCAAACCAGAAGGACCTCCGACTCGCCGCGGTGGGGGCAACGCAACGCGATATTGCCTGCCCGGGCGGGGCAGATTCCTCCTCCACACGCTCCTTCTCGTGTTCCTCCTCTCCCTCATCGTCTCGGCATCCCTGCCCCATCCTGCTCTCTCCGAGCGCGGGCGGCAGAACGAGGGGGAAAAAGGCAATCGATGGGGGGGCTTGGCAAACTTGAGATGACGGGTGCGTTTTCCGTAGCCTGGCACGTAGATCGCTGACGCGGCGGCCGATGGGCGAGGAGGAATGGAGGAGAGGAAGACGAACAGGGCGGCCGAATCCGCCACCGCGCTCTGAGGCGCAAGTTGGAATGCCCCCAGGTCTCCTGCCTAATACCCCCGAACCGACAGCTCGAGCCTTCCGCCCCAAGATGCCACCGGGAGGCTCCAAGAAGCGCCCGAGCCACCCTGGAAGCCCCGGGACGACCCTAAGAGACATTGAACTGCCTCCAAAAGGTTTTCGAGAGGTCTCCCGCGACATCTCGACGAACATCCAAGAAGCTCATGACCACGAACCCAGGCACGGTGGTGGAATGGGCCGAAGGCAATACAAGAGTTAGCGGCTGGCCCAACCACGGGAGGTAGGGCAGTGTCGCCCTCGCCCCTGCAAAAAATTAACAATGGCATTGCGCCAACCTGCATGCAGCTCACTGCGAACTCTGGCGAGCGGCGTCCGCCAACTCTTGCTCCAGCCGCAGAGCTGTCTCGGGCTCGAGCATGAGACGGGCGCGTTCGCTCTGCTGGAAATACATGACGCCATCGTCGACCCACGCGGGCAACGCCGAACTGTGGAAGTGCATGTACAAAAACCGCAGGAATGACAAGTCTGCAAAAAACTTGAAAACTTTCTCTCCTGCAGTCTTAGTCTCGGATGGCCAGTGCGAAGCAGTGATGGCCCAAGACTGTTCGACTGGGACGGTGCCGGATCGAGGGCCCACGCCGGCGGCCCGCAAGCCTTCGGCGCACTCTTGCCACGCAAGCAAGCCGCTCAAGCGTCGCGACTTGAGAAGGCGGCTGTAATGCCGCCGCAGCTTCGAATTGAAGACGCATCTGCGGCCGCGCACTTCCTGGGCGCAGGCTGGGCAGACCCTCAGGATGCCGCGGCGGCGGCGCGCCAGGCGCTTGGGACTACTGTACCAACGTCGCATTCGTTTAATTTCCCGCTTAAATGCCTTGCGGCTCCTGTAGTTATCCGCCGCCGCGCCCCAGGGCGCGACGTGGCGCGCGGTCAATCGCTCTAACGAGACGCCCAGCATCTCCAGGAAAGCTGCCAAGAGGTCCCCGAGAAGGCCCCCGAAACATTTCCCAAATGCTCTAGGGCCCCGCCCGCGACCCGAGAGTGGCGGCGGGGCGGGCCGAAGGCCGCGAGATGCCACCCGTGCGCGGCGTCGAGCTGGGCCCCTGCTCGACGCGCAACCCGCGCGAGCACGGGGCGCGGCGGCTGCGCGCCGAACGCGCTCTTCCAGACGCCTTTCGCGCGGAGAACCCCTGGCGACGAGAGGAACGCGCGCAAATCGCGCGCGCCGTCTGGATCCTGCGCGAGCGCTTCCTGGAAGGACGCGGCAGACTGAGCCACAGCAGTCCGCAGGAGGTCGCGCCCGCGCTCTCCAAGCGCCGGCACGGGAGGCGCGCCTTGCGGTTCCTCGGGTGGGCCGCGGGGCGCGTTCAGCCGGCCGATCAGGTCAGCGTGGTCGTGGCAGAAGTCCGCCGGAGCCGTCGCTCTCCGCGCCCGTCAAGGCGCGCGGCCGCGCTCCTCGTCACGTCATGCCCCGTCGCCCCTGCGGGGAAAACCGAACAAATGAACCGGTGCTGGCTGGGCTCTGGCGCCCGGCAGTTCGATGGGCCAGCTGAGATCTAGGCGCGGCGGATGCGGCGAAGCCGACTGGATCCGAGCTGTCGTTCCACGCACCTCCTCGCGTTGAGGACGTCGTGGAACGGCTCGCCTGCCACGAGCACGCCGACGGAAGGCGCGACTATGCAGCACGCGGCGAGTGGGCCGCGCGGAGTGGCACCAGCCGTCCGCACCCGGGCAAGCTGGCACGCCTCATTCACCACGTCGGCGTACTTCTTGAAGTGCTTGTTGTAGGAGTCGGTGCTGACGAACGCAGGGCACGCGTCCTCCAAGGACATGCCGGCGGCCTGGCGAGCAGAGACGATGTCCGCGAGCAGAGGCTGCAGCACGCGCTTGATGTCCATCCAGGCCTCCCCGCGGACGGGGGCGACAGGCAGCAGGGGCGATCCGTCCGTCCCGCAGATGCCGAGCACGCAACTGAAGGGCTTCTGGCGGGACTTGCCGGCACCTCTCCAAATCTTCTTCGCCAGCTTGAAGTTGCCGTCCACGCGCAGCCCGGAACCGTTGTAGAGACTCTGCAGGCGCCGCATCTCAGACACTCTCCGCGAAATCGGGGCGGAGAAGGCGCGCGGGGCGATCATGCCCAACATCTTGCGCTTGGGGAGGGCGAAAGCGATGTTGAAGAGGACTGCCCGCGCGCCGGCGTCGCTCAAGCCCGCCTCCGCGCCGCGCGCGACGGCGACGTACTCCCCGAGCAGCTGCCGACGGCACTCGCGGAAGTTCAGCGTGTCATTCAGGCAGAAGAGGAATCTCGCCAGGAACCTCCCAGTCACGTAACAGCGGCCCTCCTTCTGCCCGCCCTCCGCCGCGTTGCCGCGGATGACGATCGCGTCAGGGACGACGCGCACCACGTCCTCGTCGGCGACTGGGAAGTAACAGCGATGCCCGACGTCGTCGCCGCGCCCGCCGTACGACGCCTGCGGGCAATGCCCATGTTCGTGGACAGCCCATGCACGTGAAGCATACCCACCTCTGACGGTCCAGCTGCACTGGCCACGGGAAGTCCCAAACGTAGCTCCCGCGCCTGCATTCCCCGCTCGGCTGCAGCGCGGCCCCCCCTGCTGACGCGCGACCCAGTGCCGGAATTGCCGGGCGTGATCGTCGGCGGCCTTCGGGATCACGAGGACTGGCGCCGCGGGCCGCTGGCACGCGGGCGCCGCGACGTTCATGCCGGCGAGGGCGTGGCGGAAAGACTGCAACATCTGCGCGTCTTCCACGAGAGCGCGCGGAGCCACCGATGCTGCGCGCCCGCCATCCGACACGCCCTCGGGCACGCGCGCCATCCATGGAACACCGCGGACGATCGACCGGCAGCGCCACCGATGCTGCACGTCCGTGAGATCAGAACCGGCACGCGTGGTCAAACCACGCCGCAAACTCGTCCTGAGCACGTGCGCGCCGCCAGCGGCGCCCGCCCCAGAGCCTTGGACTACGGGGGCCACGTCGCACCGAAGGCGGCCGCGGCACACGAAGGCGTCGAGGACGACCACCTCCTCGCCTCGAAGTTTGCCAGCGAGCCCTGCCCGCGGGGCCAGCGTCTCAGCCGGGCCGCCGTCGCCGCTAACAAGTCCACACTGGAGCAGTCGGGCCAGCGTGCCCCGCGTGCGCCCCGCGCGAAAGCGCAACGCCAGG